AGGAACCTAGACCCAGGAAATGGAGCCTAGGAGAGTTTTCTGATTTTTACCAAATTGAAGCAGTGATGACAGCAATGCAACAATCTTCCTTCCCACCCTACATCAGAGCCTTGGTCAACATCATATCCCAGCACCTTGGTCAACACTATGGCCCTATCTATGCCAACCACAATGCTGGGAACACAAGGAGCTCAAGAGATACATGCTGAGGAGGGAACATATCTGGGAATAAACATGACGGTGCATCTGAATATTTATCAAGCACTTAGTATATAACAGGGACAATTTTGGATTTTAGAGAACAGACTGAACTTTTGCAACTAATATTAGACAGGTAATGGCCTCTCTTCTTTGAGGATATGTAAACTGATATCTACAGTTTAGGTAACAGACCAGGAGACAATTCAGAGGTTAGGGTACATGTGGTGCTAGTAATTACACCCAGGTCTGGGTGCACCCAGGACTACAAGGCCTAAGCAGCATCAAATCCCTGGGTCCCTGAATTGACACTCTCAGCTGAGTTGGCTGAGAATCACCAGTGTAAACACTGAGATATCCTGAGTGTCAACTGCCTTGCCCCCCCCCCCCCCCGCCTCCGCCTCACAACAAAGAAAGAAAGAAAGAAAGAAAGAAAGAAAGAAAGAAAGAAAGAAAAATTACTGAGCAGAGGAGTTCTGATTCACACAATTGAGCTGTGGGGATGGGGCAAGTGAGCGAGAAGGCCATCAGGGTCTTTGGGAGAGAGATGTGTATACACTGGTGATGAATTATGTGCATGAGAAACCATTATTAATAGTGGTGTAGTCATAGAATCACAATCAATAAAAAAAACAATTAAAAATTAAAAAAAAAAAACAGAAAACAGAAAGAAGGCCAAGAGCTGCAATGATCAGAGATGCCACCTCCAGGCCCTTCTGACTCCCAGTCCTGTGCTTTAAAAGAATGCCTTGAGCTCATGCAAAATGACCAGACCCTTGATTCCCTTCTTTATCCTGTCATGAGCTCCAGAAGGGAGCTTAGTTAACTCAAGAATCTTGGCACCAAATGATCTTATGCCTCACACCTAGCACTTCTCACACCCTGCAATTTAGTGAGCCTAGCATAATTTAGAAGAATTCTAAAGTTAAAATGGGGAAGGCTCATTGATACAATATGCCACAAAAAAAAATGTGTGTTTATTTATGTAAGAAAATTACTCAAATTCATATTAGTTAATGAAGGAAAAAGTAACAGATTGGAAGCAATAAACAAGAGATTGTCCAATCTGTCTTCAAAAACACCAGAAGTATATAAAATATAAACAGTAGATAAAACACATAGCATTCAGTACACATCTCATGTCTAACTGTCCCAAAGAACCAGGGTTCCGAGGGGACATGATACTGTGCCTGCTGGACCAAAGAAGTACCGAAACTCAACAGCCACTGTAGTGCGACTCTTTTCACCTACATTCGCATTCACATCATGCTGGCAGCCTGATATTGGCCACAGCGGAAATACTGATACCAAAGAAATTGGAAAATTCTACCAGTTGGTATTCTCTGGTTAATTTTTTATAGAGAACTATGTGGTTATGTGGAAGAAAAACACCTGCACAGCTCTCACTCTAAGAAGTTTCTGGAACATACTGAAAATAACACAACACTAGAAAAATAACAAGGTCCCTTCCCCTGAAGTAATGTACAAGGATCGAAATGTACTGATTGGGGAATATCTTGGCCTTCTTCAGCCTATTTACTGACCTCCTCTACGGTCAAATACTCTGACATGCTCCCCAAATTCCTGAGCTCAGTGAGTGGCAGAATTTTGTTTTGGAATATATATCTTTCCCTGTGTCATAAAGGGTAAGAATCTTTAAACATGGAACCAATGCACTTGGTTTTTAGGTGACTGTCGCACCATTTTGAGAAAAGCATTCAATTTTTAATTTATGTTATTATTTAACACACATTTACTTCATATCAAAATAAGAAACTATAAAGTCCTATAAAGAGTTTTTAAAATTTTGCTTTTGTTGTCTGAGCTTGGAAGTGGATCAAAGAATTTGAGGTGTCCCTCCCCGCCCCGCTTGTTTGTTTATTGTAAAATGAGTAGAAAAGGAAAATAAAACCAACTGGAGATGGGGAGAATTGCTTGAAATCAATTTGAAAAAGAAAAATTAAAATTTCAGTGGGGTCAAATGATTCAGAATTTGCCATAACAACAATTTAATCTAGCCTTACTTTCTCGGTTCTTTCTCTTTTCCTTTTCCAGACATGGAAGTTCTGTGAGCTTTGTACTTCTGAAAATTCTAAACTGATTCATAATCAACCACATATCTGATTTCAGGACTATCAGTTGGAACCTAAATAATATCTAAGAGCTAAGATATTTAGTTGACCCCTTCTATGTGGAAAACAATTATATGATGTATAGTGCAATAATGTAAAATACATATATATGAAATACATCTGATGTATATACCTGAGAAAATAAGATGAAAAATTACCTTGCAAAGATTAAAAATAAAACCCATACCCTACCAAGGAATGTCAATTGATTAGTCTTTTAGAAATTTAAGTGAAAACTCAGGACATGAAACAGTACAACCTCAGCATATTTTTTTTGCAAAGCAACGATGAAAGTTTGAAAGCACAGAACAATGATAGTATCATCAATCAGATCCCTATGCCTATTCCAACAGCCATAGTAAATGTCTATTTTATACCAATCTGACCCAAGAGTGTAAAGAATGTTAAAATGAATCTCTAGCCCACTACTCCAGTTATTTACTGTGATTCAAAGACAATCCATTCTCTACCTGTGGTTCCTGGACAGAGGGGCATCAAAAATAATGCAGTGACCCTAAAGGTCTTGGATATTTTTTCAGGAAAAAAAAAAAGAATGTTTTCTTTTGGGGGGGCACCCCCAGCAGCACTCAGGGCTTGCTCCTGTCTGAGCTCAGGAACCACTCCTGATAGTGATTGGGAGACCATATGCAATGCTGGTAATCAAATCTGGAACAAATACATGTTAGGCTGTTGGGAGAAAAGCCCCTTTTGGTCTGCTCTGAAGTGCCCTATTAAGCCTTGGGCTCTGCCTTGGAGGATGTTCCCAGAGCATTCAGAACCTATTATAATGTATATTTACGATCACAGGTCAATACAGCCATGGGACAGGACCCTGGGACAGGATGTGTCCCGCAGATGTGCGGTGACAGCCTATCCATTATGATCAAAGGAGGAATATAACCCTATCTATAGAACTACAACGAAACAATGTAACCCTATCTGTAGAACTGAGATGAAACGTGTATTTGTTCTAACCACTGTAACTACATGACTAACTGCAAATATTCAAGCCTATATAAACCTTGCTGTTTGCTCAATAAATCGGAACCGCTTGACGGGACGCCCACCATGCTCGTGTGCTCATTTCTCATTTCTCAGCTGGTGTGCAGGAGGTGGCATAGGACTGTTCTTTTCCCTCGGACCCCTCTCTCTGCAGAAGGGAAGCTCGGCCTTGTCCTCAGGACTCTGAATGGCGGCCCCTTGCTGGACAAGGGAGCATGCTGAACAGAGCCCAGGAGAAGACCCCCAACGTAAGGCCAGTGCCTTACCTGCATACAATCTCTCCAGCAGCCCCTGCTCCCAGTTATTTTTAATGGAATGAGAGGAAAGTTAGAGAACATCAGACATTTAAGTTTGTTATCATTTCATGTGATCCATCATTACAAAGCATGGCTACTATGAACTTCATTCTTAGAAGTTGGGAAATGTGCCCAAATGGAACTATAAATGGCCCCAAAGAGAACACAATTTGAGCCCTTCTTCCACCACAAATGGTGCCTCCATACCATATTATCCTGCTCCCCAGTTCCAAAAACACTGGCATTAAAAAAAACTCAATGCACATGCTCCCTGTTACCTTAGATGGATGGCTTTACAATTATCTTGAGTTTTTTATGATGTTTATCTATTCCCGTGCATCAGCCCTGCCAAGAATACAGTCAATTCACTTGTTTTACATTACGCCGTATTTCTTGGTGTTTAGAGCAAGAGGAGCTTCACATTGAATTGGAAAATGCTGAGCATACCCAGCTGCAGAGAATTTACAGCCCCACGTCTCGGTTTGCTGGGGGCAAAGATTTCTAAAACTGTCTTGAGCTTCAGAGAGTCACAGGACTCAGGAAGAAGTAGCAACTGGCATACTGTAGGGTGCAATCATTTTCCAGTTAAACCGAAGTACAGATATAAATATAACAGTATTTCTGGGTATGATAACAGCACGTGAACGGAACATTCTCACGTGGGAATATCTCATTATTTATTGAAAAAATAAGCAAAGACTCCCTACCCAACTGTTCAATATTAGAGGTTTTCATCTATTCTCATATTCTCATAGTTTAAATGTTCTAAATGACTTTCCTTTTGCAGGGCAAATAAAAAACTGAAGTGCTTAAGAAACTTTAGATAATTTAAAGAAATCATATTTAAGTATGTTTAACATAGCATTATTTATAATTGCAATAAACGAAAAGTCTAAAAGCCCACATGTTCAATAGCAAGAGCATGTTAGCATGGGTACTTTGACTTGATGCCAAATTCCAAAAATAAGCACCAACATATTGCAATTAGGATGTCAGGATACTGAAGGAAAGGAAAAAGCTCAAATTGATTAATGTTTGGTAAAAAAAACATGAATTTTTCACAGTGCCAAATGCATGGACAAAAGATAAAAGGCAAAACTCACATGTCTGAAGGGAATGGGAAGGGAAGAGGGTGAAAAAAAAAAAACACCTCTTTCATTTTATATTTCCATTGTTTGTTCTACTATTATCCTGGCAACAGGTAATGCTCAAAAAGTAAGGAGGAGAAGGATGAGGACTATATCAACAGAGAACAATCACCAAACCTAAATGTGCTTGGGTTAGGCTGAATCATGAGAAGGAATTGGCTGCTGTCAAGAAGGACTCAGAAGGAATCAGGGACATGGGGGGGCGGGGGGGGTAGGTTACCCACCTTGCTGGATGAGTGTGTCTGCTGCCAGCTCCCCGGTGCCCACGTTGGTGTACTCCTCGTTGGGGTGCTTCCTGTTGTAATGCCGCTTCAGAGAGCCAGACATGTTGCAGGAGTAATGGCAATGGGCACAGCGGAATGGCTGCGGAGACAAGGGGGAGGAGTTACACAAGTGTCCTCTAGAGCAGTGACACAGACATGAGTTCTAATCCACCACTGTCCACCATTAGGACAAAACTATTTCTGACTCCTACCTGGGCAAGACAAGGCACTTCAGGAAAAGGACACAAGTGGGTCATACAACCCTTGTGTGCCACCTTGCATATGCTTAGGAGACTCAGAGTGGTAAGGGAAGAAGGGGTGCTTGTTAAAAGAGTTCTTTCTTTCTTTCTTTCTTTCTTTCTTTCTTTCTTTCTTTCTTTCTTTCTTTTTCTTTCTTTCTCCCTCTCTTTCTCTTTTGCTTTTTGGGTCACACCTGATGATGCACGGAGGTTACTCCCGGCTCTTCACTCAGGAATTACTCCTCGCGGTGCTCGGGGGACCATATGGGATGCTGGGAATTGAACCCGCGTCATCTGCGAGCAAGGCTGTGCTATCGCCCCTTGCTAAGACTTCTTGAAGAGCCCAGTAAAACCCGGCCATTAGTCAGATGATGGGTATATATCTGGATCACTGTCATTCCCCCAGCTCCACATCAAAGTGCCCTTTTGAACCACGTGTTGCCTGACTTTATAGCACAGAGCTACGGAAATCCCAGCTTTGTCAGTGAAACATGTCTGTGATACATTCAGTTTTGTGGCATGGCAGGAAGAGCATGGAGCAGCCTGAAAGAAAAACAAGGCTCAGAAAGCACAAGAGATTCCAACTGGACAAGTTCAATATGATGAGGAATTAATGAATGAACCACAGTGCTGACCAGCATGGGAATATCGACAAGTGGTAAAACTCCTAGCACCAAACTTTGCATCAGTGAAACAGACGACACCACAACCTGCGAGTTTACTGTGAAAATTCAATCATATAACAAAGCGATCTCAAAGATGCCACAAGGATTTTTTTAACTACAATTTTACAAAACTCTTATGTCTGTGGTAGCTTATACATGGTATCTAGAAATATCTCAGGACCCTCTTGAATCAACAGTCCCATTACTAGAAGTGTCAAGCCAGGAGCAGTAGGTCTCTGAAGGTGAATGAATCAACCAGGAGGGAAAATGTCTTCTTTTCTTTGAGATAGGTGGGGGACTGGGCCACATCTGGCAGTGCTTAGGGCTTATTCCTTGCTCAGGGGTCCATGGGGCCATATGTGGTGCCAGGGATTGAACTGGGGTCGTCTATATGTAAAGCAAATTCCTGTGTTCTGGTACCATCTCCCCAGTCCCTCTTCTTTGATGTTTCCTCCAACCTATTTTGGACAGGTGTGCTGAAGTATTTCCATTGAGGGAAAGAGAAATGAAGGGAAAGATAAGGAAGAAAATGAGAAGAAGCCCCATCTTCCCGTGTCCTTGTTAAAGTCACTCCTCACTCCTTTTCCTTCAGTCCCACCCACCCACTCACCCTTGAAAGAGCGCCCCCCCCATTCTATCTGTGCTTCCCTTCCCCAGGTCCATGAGACTTCCCAGCAAACAGCTCCAGCAGTCCAGCCCACGATCTTTCATCAGACTTTGTGCCTTTTCCCAACCATCTCTTTCAGCTGGCTGCTAACTCCCATATGACATTTGTGACATGGCAACACTGCAGAAGGTTCTCCTTCTCCCACTCTGAAGTTAATTGGCTTACTTATTAGATCATCCCCCTCCCTCCCTCCATTCCTTCCTTTCCTTCCTTTCTGCAAGCGAAACATACCCTCTACCACCCAGCTCTAATGTTAAATGCTGGCTTCCTTCATATTTCTATGCTTGGGCCTATTTTGTTCTTTGGCCGTGATTTCAATAATCAATTTTGGGGCCTGGAGATTGGTTCGGTGGTAGAGTACATACTTTGTATCACACATATGATTTGTATGGGTCCTGGGTTAAATCTCTGGAACTGAAAAGAAAACAACAATCATTTTTACATTTGATTACATTTTTACAATTGGTGATTGCTGCACGTCTGTATCAAGCAGAATCTCTTCTAAACCAAAGATAGGAATTTTCACTAGTGTCTTTATAGTAATATTTTCTTTACAGTGTGCCACCTCATAATAAATAGATTTTATACTGTCTTTTTATGAAATAAGCTAATCATCAAGAGACAGAAACCTAAACATCCTCATCATTTTTTCTCCTTCTGAGTTCACCAATCACTGAGTCACTTGCCCAGACTTCCTCAGAAAATGCATGAGAATCCAGCACTGCTTGTCTCTGCCTGTCACTCAAACACAGAAATGAGTGTCCTCAAAGGAAGTGCTGTTACTTTCCGGAGGCCATTCTTGAAGAAACAGACATAGGACATTTAATCTAGGGAAACCAATTCCCCAGAGACTCATTTTGGTCCCAGGATGCTACACTGGATGCGCAACCTTGAGTCCATCACCTACGAAAACCATCTGTTCTGGCCCACAAGGTTTATTACATAAAACAATAAGGAACAAAGGCAAAAACTGCGCCTCTTTTTTCTTTCTACTAAGCAGAGACTAAGAGGTCTGATGATTTTCAAAGTTAAAATAAAAGCTGTAATATTTTCCAGTGTTATTTCTAAATAACCAAACACTATCATATTGTTTTGGAATGTTGGCATTTACACAGAACTCAGAAAAAAAAAAGAAGTAAAAAACCCAGAAATGCTACATTTACCAGTGATAGGTGTCATCAGGCAAAGAGGCAGGAAGAACAGGGACAATTAAAGTGAGAAATGGTCCTGCAAACCTAATGTCAGGCTTGAGAGCCAAATTCATCCTTTTGTGACAAAACTGGTAAACTGCCTTATAAGCCCTTTCATGCATTTTGTTCTGCAGGTTTGCTTCCTGGTAGAATTGGAAAATAAGAGCATATTTGTGGAGGGCTGGGGGTTGGATGGCATACATACAGGCAAGGCCAGGTAAGGCTAAATGAGAAATCGGTCTCAGAGCTAGACTTATTTCTATGGAAACCTTTAATTCCTTACTCAGCATTATTCATATAGTGCCTGACTGGGAACTATGTAGTGCTGAAATTGAACCTGGGGCTCCAGCTTTCAAAGCACATGCTACCTTTCTTTTGAGCCCTTTGTCAGAAGCAGGGTGGTCAAAACTTCCGAGGGGCATCCTTCACTGATGAATAGCACCAGGGGCTGAGAAATTTAAGTGCCTACAACTAAGCACCAACCAACTCAGTAAATCCTTTAATGATGACTTTACCATTGAAAAACAGAATAATTGTCATAATTGACTTTATTGATCATTCTTTTGATAATCCTATTTATCTTTTTGATATAATAAAAAATATGAAGTAAATTTGTTTGCTCCTGCTAATGGGGCAGGTTTGGGTGGTATATGGGAAATTGGAGACATTGATGGAGGGAACATAATGGCGGTGGAACTGGTATTGGAATATTGAATACCTAAAACAACTCTATTATGAACTACTTTGCAAATCACAGTATTATAATATTTTTTTAAAAAAGGAAAGAAGAAAAATAAAGTTAAGCCTCTCTGTATCTTTCCTTTGATGATATTTGCTCTACTTCATACCCATTTACAGTCTTCTGCATGGGAAGAATTCCCACCAAACTTCTACTTGTATCCATTTTCCTTAATGATGACCTGGTGATCATTGAGCTTTATCTATGCCTTTCACTTAAAGTTGAGACCATTTTGACAGAGAACTCTGTTGAAGGGCAGGAGACAGAGATAAGAGAGAGTAAGAACGGCATCCCACTGATGGATACATGTCTGACTGCACAGTTAAAGCTATACATATGAAAACTTCAGTTAGGAAGCAAATGTTGTGGTCCAGATGCCCTTCTATTATCTAAACACACAATGACTAGTAAGAGATTTGCATTTACTGAATACATATGCAGCTTTGGATATAGATATCAACTGAATAGATTGACTGATACGTAGACACACTAAACCATAACTTAACTTCTCAGGCAGATACTTACAGAGAGCAGGTGATGCTAGACCTCAAAAAGGAAGTTATTTATTGTCAGCTTTCAGACCAGAATCTGGCCTGGAGTTGGAAAGAAAATATAAATAAGCTGTCGTGGTTAGTTAGCAACAATGCACAAATGCACAAAATTTCTTATTGAGGAAAGACAACAGAAAGAGAGAGAGAAAGAGAGAGAGAGAGAGAGAGAGAGAGAGAGAGAGAAAGGAAGGAAGGACAAAAGAAAGAAAGAAAGAAAGAAAGAAAGAAAGAAAGAAAGAAGAAAACCCTTAGCTATGCCTGCTGTTAAATGTTGCCCTTGAGTTCCTGATCAAGTGTAAGTACTATCTAACACAATAATCCCTATATTTCAGTTAATAATACTGATAATACCATATGCCAGAGTTGCATTAAGCATACATTCTGGTAAGTCTCACAACAAATTCATGTGGCCTGAAGCTATTATTCCATTTTACAGATGAAATAACCAAGACGTAGAATAATTACAGAATTTGACCCAAACATTCAGTCTTTGGTCTGACTGGTTGGTCTACACTGGATTTTGGAGCCAGGCTCAGCTAGCAATAGAAAGATGATTCCACTTTCAGTCATCATTTATTCCTGATCTCTGCTCCTGGTAACACCCTAAAAGCCTATGGGAGTACCCTGGGAAGTGCAAGGTATTCCTGGAGCTCCTGCACAGAAGCCAGATCAGATCTAAGTACCAAGTGCTTAAAATGAGAAACACTGTGGTGAACTGGGAGAATTCTGAAAACTCCTGGATTCCAGAGATAAAGCAGCAGCTGGAAAGCAGTGAGACAAGCAGTAGCAGGTCACAGTAGAATATGTGCTAGGTCAGTAGAGTGCTGCAGACATTGAGAGTCTCCTACAGCTGTTGAGAGGCAACAGGTCAATATCTCATTTAGACGCTGGAAATTGGTGGAAGGAGGAATTGAAAGGAAGAAGACAGGAAGCAGGGAACCAATTATTCAGTTGTTACAGTGGTATAGACAAGAGATAACATAGATGGACAAGAGATACAGCCTGGATGACAAGGAGGGAAGAACTCTGCCAGTTGCAAATAAAGTTCT